GATTTGTCCAACCGGTCCGAGTTACCGCGACCACCTAATTGTGTTATCGAGATAACCAGTCGATCCGTTATTCGCTGCCAAAGGATTCCGGCATCGAAGTCACGGAGCCAACGGCTTCCTCTACATCCCCCGGAGACTCGTAAATGTTCATACTTGTCGCGTGCTATGGCGCTCCGGAATAATCAATGCAACCTTTGAAATAACGTCGAATGGAAAGAACAGAGCGAACCGAACGTACGATAATCGACGAAAGGATTCGAGCTGCGAGCATTCAACAGCTGGCGAACCTAATGGGGTAGAAACCATCGAAATCCACGGTTTCGCTTCTCCGTTTAAACTCTTGCGCGCAACAGGGGTCCACAGCCATTGATAAGTTAATTAATTGCCGGGATATATCCGGTTAAGCGACGTGTAAATCACCAACCGGTCAAAACAGTAGGGATCGGCAACACGTGCTTCACCCTCTTATTGCGTAATAATTGCGCGGAAGAGTGCCATGCCAACTCTCGCCGTTCTGCTTTATCGCCATTTTCCATCCTTCAACCCGCCAGCTGACTAACGACTGATACGTCGCTGCACGCAATTGCGCGAGATGCACCGGGTTTCTGCAGCCTTCTGAAGGCAACGCAAACAACCAGTCTCGGTATTCCACTGTTTCTTCTTTTCTATTCACTATCCGCTGTTTCTTTCGTTCTTTCCCCACTGTACAATTTGTCCGTTTTCGTGGCGTCATCATAGCCAGGCCAAAAGCAGTGATCCACGATTGGTCGAACCAATGAGCGACCAGCCAGCAACCGGTCAGAAGAAAGCTCGTAACGCTGAAATCACGAAACTCGAACACGTCTAGGTACATGGCTCGTGCGCTAATTCACGTGGAACCGCGTTAACAGATATTAGGTAAACACGGTTCGTTGTACTCGCACAATTCCACGGAAATCCTCAAGGCAAGCCGCACGTGTATACGTGTGCTGAAGTTGGCTGCGAGTCGAAGCAGCGAGGCAAGGACCGCCAATACGTCGGCGGAAATAATTACGCGTAACGTAGCCGGGTTTCCTCGAATTCTACATGTCGAGTTGAAGAACACCTCTGTGTCGGACGCGAACCTCTGGATAAGGGGGTGGGCGAAAGGGATGGTTTGGGGCAGAGACGGGCTAGTCGAGGGAAAATACTATAGGTAACGGTACTTGCTGTACATGGATAATACATAGACAGAGGAAGGGAAACCCCCTGCGCTACGGGTTAGCGTGTAGCTATATCTACATAACGTAGTGTAGCGTAGCCGCGGCCGCCGGTCGGTTTAATTTAACACAGCAGCTGTAATCCCATCCATTACGGCCGCGGTAATATACGATCGCTCGAGATTCATACTCCGTTTTTTCACTAATTAACAGACGGGACAAATCGCTCCGCCGATTCACCTCTCTCCGCTCGGTAGCGGCCCCAAGCCACCCCCTCCCTGCGGAAAATGGCGCGCGCGCTCTTCATTCTCTTCTCGTGCAACAGCAACAAACGCTTTGTTTCTTCAGGCTAAAATTTACCCGCTGTTTTACACCAGTTTCATTCGGCCCATCATTTTCACCCGTCCGTTCGTTCATTCGCTCGCCACCGTATATACGTACAGGGTACACGCTATCTATAGATGTGTAGATACGCTCGTTCTCCGACTCTCTCGTCGCTCGTTAAATCTCCTCTAGCACAATATTCGCACGTTCAGCCAGCTTCAGCGACACGCTCGATACATTCAGCAACGGAGATCTGACGATGTTTATAGACTGACCGTTTGGACGACTCGAGGAAGGTCTTGTTCGGCTTCTGTACGGCAACGAGAGATGTTGGTTCGAGAGATGGATATAGCGTTAAAGTGTTGGCTTGTCGGGAAACTCGAACAATTTTGTTTTATATTATTGTATTGAATTTGGTGGACATTTCGTTCTATTTCTTATACAGGCTGGTTGGTAATTGGTGGTACAAGCGGAAAGGAGGTGATTCTAGGCGAAAAAAGAAGTGGAAAATGTAGAATACAAATTTTTCGTTCGAGGCTTCGTTTTCGAGAAAATCCACTTTGAATCGTCGCTCGGTACGCCTGCACTTTATCGCGTCTCGTTGGAAGGGATCACACCGTAGATCGTTGTCTCGATTGACGTTATTTTTTTGATTTTTTAAATTTTTATTCTATATTTTCGACTTCTTTTTTCGCATAGAATCACCCCCTTACCACTACCAGTTACCAACCAGCCTGTATAAACCGATATAGAAGAAAGAAGATCGTGCGTCTATTATTTCCCTACAAAGCGAAAGAAACTTTCCGGACGACCCAATAATCGAAATATTCCGCTATATTTGGTAAATGTAATATTTACAATAACGCGGAATATTATTCCATAAAATCATCAATAGGACTTTCTTATCGCCCCGAGCCTCGTGCGGATTAGCCGAGACGACAATTAAATTGATTAGCGAACAGAAGGGTAGAAACTTGATAATTTAGCAAAGTAAACAGACAGGGTAGTTTCAAGTTGTTCGAACGCAGATAACGTGATTAATTTGAAGGTTTCGCTGTTACTCTTAGCTTGTAACCAGTGTGCAAAGTTAGCTGTAGCGTGCAATTGTATAGATGTGCACCGCGAACGAGTGTTTTCCCAGAACACTAAACCTCTTGAAAGCCTCAGAATGAAACCGGAACACTTCACACTAGATACCATATCGACACGTTTTTTTTTCTACGTTTTCTAATGAAGTTGAATCACCAACGAGACTTCTTCCTGCACAATACTAGAGTATAGTATTTAAAGCGAAGCGAAACAACGGGGTTCCTTATCGTTGCGGTGGCGGTCGTTTTTCTCACCCGTCGAGAAGAATAATTAAGGATCATCGATCGATCATTCCGCGCAAGCATCGCGATCCCGTGGCGTTCGAGCGGCCCGGAATGCTATGAAGTAATAACTCTTGCGTCAATACAGGAGGCGTGACGAACGCGGCAGGCCACCGATCGTCTCGTAAAAACCGATCCGAAAGAAATAATTAACGCACGTTAATCAACCACTTGGTCGGTGAAATTGGAACGTTTCTGTGGCGGGGCTCGAAGAAGCACTCCATTAAGAGGACTCGAAAGGGGAAGGAAGAATTTGCGAGAGTGATTTGTGGTACGCCCTGCAGTAACCAGTAACACGATAGAGTGATAATAAATACCTTTAAAAACGATACGCTTTCATCCTGACTTTAATCGATCTTTAATCGACGAAATTTAATTTACAGACGAGTTCGTATTAACGCATTGAACGCAGTATCGATACTGTTGGCAATTTTGCATCTTAATAGCCGAAATAATAGTATAGGAATACTAAATTTACACTTAGAATTCATATTACAATAGTTATATATTTATCTGATAAGCGATTGCAAAGATATTCATCGATACACACTCGCGCGCGTCTCACCAGTTTCTTCCATATCCGACTCAACCGATCAGTTTACGTTCGTTTGTTTTCGAGATGCCGCGCGCACGCATACTTCCACACACTGATATTCACATACGAGTATCACTACTACGCATCTAACCTAGTGTAGCACTTAAAACGATACAAATGTGGCGGCACTCGATGTGGCGGCAACGGCTTCGCGACACAATGCGTTATACCTTCAAAGCGTAAGGTCGACGCGCCTAATGTTCCATCGATATCCCTACGGCTCTTTCGCCGAATATTTGGAAGATCGCGTACGCGGCAACCGTGGCGGACATCTAATAAACGTGTGCGTAGTGGGGATATGGAGGGGCAAGAAAGAAAAGAATCCGTTTACTTTCCAAAGATTCATTCTGCCCCGAGCTGCGAAGTGCGAAAGGTCAGCGGATTAACGAAGCAAACACTATTACAAATACGTGATTATAACTCTTGATAGTTAATTGTTGTTGATAGTTAATCGTTATTTGTTGTTAATCGTCAATCGTTATTTGTTGTTGATAGTTGATCGTCAATCGTTAATTGTTGCTGACAGTTAATCGTCAATCGTTAATTGTTGTTAATCGTCAATCATTCCTTGTTGTTAATCGTCAATCATTAATTGTTATTGATAGCTAATCGTTATTTGTTGTTGATAGTTAATCTTCAATCGTTAATTGTTGTTGACAGTTAATCGTCAACCGTTACTTGTTGTTGACAGTTAATCGTTAATTGTTGTTGACACTTAATCGTCAACCGTTACTTGTTGTTGACAGTTAATCGTCAACCGTTACTTGTTGTTGACAGTTACTCGTTATTTGTTGTTGATAGTTAATCGTTAATAGTTAATTGTTGTTGATAATTAATCGTTATTTGTTGTTGACAGTCATTCGTTAATCGTTAATTGTCGTTGATAGTTGATCGTCAATCGTTAATTGTTGTTGACAGTTAATCGTCAGCCGTTACTTGCTGTTGAGAGTTAATCGTTAAATGTTGTTAATCGTCAATCATTAATTGTTGTTGATAGCTAATCGTTATGTGTTATTGATAGCTAATCATCAATCGTTAATTGTTGTTGACAGTTAATCGTCAACCGTTACTTGTTGTTGATAGTTAATCGTTAATTGTTGTTAATCGTCAATCATTAATTGTTGTTATCGTCAATCATTAACTGTTGTTGATAGCTAATCGTTATGTGTTGTTGATAGTTAATCGTCAATCGTCAATTGTTGTTGACAGTTGATCGTCGGCCGTAGATTGTTGACTGTTGATAGTTGATAGTTTAATAAACCTTTTTGTGGAACATCAATTTCTTGTGGGCACCTTCATCAACAACCGTCTCGCATATATCAATAGATACATACACGTTCCTTTTCAATATTTTCCAACAATCTAACGCGTAGACATTTTAGAATAAAAAACAAATGAAATTTTGTTTAATAATCGTAGAAACTCTGCCGCATTGAACATGTTAATTTATAAACGACCCATAATTCCCGGTCGTTGTAGACTAAATTTAAACGACTTCCCTGCGGTCAACGCGATAAATATTTCTAATTACAGGATTTCGACCAGCGTTATTTGTACGTATCTGCAAGACGAATACTTTCACGTAACGCGCAGAGGAACAGCGTGACGAGGAAAATCGAGGAAGTTTCATGGCCTGCGCATCGGTGTCGAGGGTTGCAAGCAGACGCAGAGGTATGGCAAGCACGTGGCACACGTGACTACACGGCGCATAAGGCACTCGAACGTGGATATGGAGTGCGAAGATGAAAGCGGAAGACAGCGCACGAGAGAGGCTCTCTGTACGGCAAGGGGGAATCCAGGGTGGCCGGAAAGTTGTCGGTATAACGCGAGCCGCTTCTGCCGGTTGTCGAGTCTGCGCATTCACCCGGCCGGATTTAATTGGATGGACACCATCGCTCGGTGCTTAATTAACTAATTAATTTCGCGCGGGATACGAACGCGCGGAAAGATACCGCCGCCTGGTCTCTTTGCTTTTAATGACTTTGGTAGCGCGCGTTTTCCAACTTGAAAATTCCATCCGTTCATCAACCGAATGAAAAATATGCTATCTAAAGCGAATGGGGATAATAGGAATACGAACGAATTGAAAGTTCATTGGAGAAAGACACACGGAAGGAAGATTATTCGCGTGGCGTGACGGCGGTCGTTTACGGAGGAAAACATAAATAACCGTGGCGAAGACAGACCACCGTGCGAATTTAAAAGCGTCCCGCTCAGCGGCGCGACCGCGTAAATTCGTTCCGGTTTAATTAAATTTAAATGATTGTTTCGGCTTTCGATTCAAGTGGCCGAGCTCGTTCGTCACCAGGGGACAAGCGAACGCTAGAGTCCAGTAGAAGCCGCCATTTATCAACGGGTTCGCATAAATCGCCGATATGAACATCCGCGCTGGTCTCTAAGCTCGCACGCGCGTATACTTTTCGTCGGGACGCTTCCTGCAATTATAACGAGGCCCATCTCGCGGCTGAGCGCCACCTTTGTGTCGTCTGTAAAGAGAGAACGACGGAGGTAACAAGCGCTGTCCCCTTGTCCTTAGCACCATAGTGTCGTTCATCGTGTTAAAGCGGCCGGGCAAAATTTTCGTTTCATAAAACACATGTCACCGTCGCTGCCGTGGCGCAAGAAACTCGCTCGTTCAGGGCGGACGCCAGAGAATAGGCCACGGCTTTTAAGGGTGGTAAAAAAAGAAAAACCTCTATTGCCGGACTAAGTGGCGAAGCGAGGGTGCGAGTAGCCGAGAACGCCGAGGGAACGAGTTGGTTCGTTACGGATAAAGGATAGGCTTTAAATGAACCTTTAAAAGCGAAGGAGAACGAAGAAGAAAGCAGTGTATGGAGCACAGGAAATTAACTTTCGCCCAAGTTTTCCACAATTTGACACGAAAGCAGAATTCATAGTAGCTTGCTCGATACGGTGAAGTGTTGAATTGACTTGTAATTTGTAGAGGTTTAGGAGGAGCGAAAATCGGCCTTCCATACACGTTTTTTCTTTGCGATGTTCGACAGCCTTACATTCGCCAGCTGTTTCATTAGAACATCAGTAGACAGGGGCCCCATGTACAGTGCTTTATACGACTTTTTTCGTGCGATCGTTTAATTCGCGAATTTTCCAGATACCATTGAATAATCATTGATAATTGTAGCTTATGGCTGTAGATGTTACTGCTATTTTTCTTCTAATTTAGATGCGTGGAAGAAAAATCGGACCGCGGGCGCCGGGAATCGAACCCGCGTCCCGAACGTTCGTAACCAAAAACGCTAACCACTGCGCTGTCGTCGGCCGGATGTTAGTTAGCGTCGAATGGCGGTATCTGTTGTCGAGTGTCGCCATATTTGTAAATATTTCCGCGCTTCTTGACAGTATTTATTATACTTTGCCCATAGGAATTAATAAGTCGAAAAATTCATCTGTTACTGATATGATAGATTTGCACAAAACGCATTCGTCACAGAAGCTTCGATTTCCTGTATGTATAATGAGCAAAGTCCAAGCACAGTGCAAACTTGATTTTGGTTTGACATCTTTTGCGAGGTTATCAATTACCATACACTTTTCGCTTCGAGTGCGCCACCCCAAATATCCGCCAAACGATGCACATACGAGTGCCATCTGTAGTCAATTTTTTTCGTTATCGGCAAAACATTTTCTCTTGATTTTATCGACATATTGGATTAATCACTTCTCCAAGATTGATGCGTTTGTGAAACGGTATTTCATGTACGATTTTGCAAGAATTATTGTTATTTAAGACTCGAGAAAACGTATATACAGCAACCACGCTCACTGTGCGTATTTCTGGCGCGAGTTTCCCTTCAGTGACAGACTTCGGCGGACTGGGCTGCCGAAGCGAAAGGGTTAAAGCACTGAACAGCCTTGTAACACGACGTTCTTCTTTTTCTGATAGAAATCTCGAGAAGATTACAGTGTACTTGTCACGAGTCTAGTTCTTTCAGATTTCCGTCGGTTCTCTTTCCCATTGATACATTATTAATACGCTTAATTAATTAATTCTCTGGTCGATATTATGGAGATCAGATGATAAAGTATGCGCAATAATTAATACACATTACACGTGCGGAAAATCCATAAAGATTTTATTTATGTAGCTTATTAAAGAATAATCGACGCGAGTATGAAGAATGCTTCGATGTTATCAGAATGATAAGTAATTACGCCTTTCTACCGATAAATTCCAATTAATTTCTACACTCATCAACTTACAGTTGCCCGCTCTGAACTCGATATATCGCAAGCTAAACACGCGTAACAATACGCGAGGACGCGGCAGAGGACACGGTCGCCGATCGATATAGTAGATTAGGAAGCGAAAAAAGTTGGCCGATAAACAGAGCGGCCGAGCCGAGTCGCGAGCGCGTTTGCCTTCAACTCGACTAATAGCAGTCATTTTCGGATGGATGCTCGAAGGTTCTCGAGTTTCATAGGCATCGCGAGGACGCTCGAGTTAAAGAATGGTGGAAGAGGAAGGCCTATGTCTGCGGCAGGAGACGGTAGACGGAAGGAGGAAAAAAAAAAAAAAAAAAAAATAGCGAAGAAAGCGGCGTCGTAGGGAAACAAATCAACTCGTCTGTTGGCTGGTCTCGAGTTTTTAGTGGCGTGACTCCAAATATTTGCTTTGCCGCGGTGTCTGGTTTCGGCGCGCTACGGAATATACACCGGCCAGAGGCGGTAGAAAAATCTCTAGAAACGCGGAGAACTGTTCGCGAAACTTCCTACTGGCTGTACGAATCCGCGCCATCGTTTCAGCCAACAACCCCCCTCCCCCATCCTTAGTATCGCTGCGTTCGTTCGAGTGTCACCCCTCCTCGTACTCGCGCCCCAGCCACGCTCTCCAGACCTAACCCAAACCACCCCCTCCCTTGCGTTCGATAGCCGCCAAAGTCGCTGCCAAGAATACGCTGGGAACTCGTCCATCATGAACATTATTACGCGAATACCGTGATACTGCCGTCTCGTCTAATACCCCAACCCCTTTTAGGCGGCCACTTTTTCAAGCGGCGTCGTTGCCGCGGGGGCGAGCTTTATGTGCGACAGTTACGATCGGCCTCATAGCTCTTTAAGATTTGGCACAGATACGCTGTGTGTGCGTTTCAGTCGATCAATTTCCTTCGCGTGTGTCACCGAGACGCGTTCGCTGACGAACGCTCGACGGATAGTTGAAAACATCGGAGAAACGACATTGGCGTGGAACGCGTGTACGAGCCAACATGTATCTCAGCTTAATCGTTTGCCCTGATTCGTATTTGAACGATCGTCTCGAGAGAGGCATCGAAAGCGTGTCATTAGAACGACATAATGGATGGTGTACGACGTTATTGCAATGCGATAAAACAGCGATAAAAATTTAATGTTCCATCAAAGACTCTATTCTTCTTCGCTTAAGACCGCCAGCTTGATAGCTGGATGGACTCGAACGATAATTCGACGTCGGTAATTCAGATGCAATTTTTATCTACACTGTTCTTTCCGCTTTTCAATTGCCTCGCACTCGATGCTTATCTACCACGGCTTAGTAGAAATCACGCCCTTCGCATTAGAGCCCGGGAATTGTTAAGGCAAGTAAAAGTTATGGGAATGCACGTGGTGCAGCGGAAGTTACTGAAACAGTTTCCAAGGATACCACGGGGTGAAACGCTGTGGACTTGATCGAAGAGTCGCGATTATCACTAACAGTATGAAAAAGACAAAGAATCCGAAGAATACTTCGGCAAAGTAAAGGAACTTCGTAGTGACGACCTCGACGAAATGCCGCGCATCTTCCAACGAACCCACGAAGCTCTAAAACGGTACGCCACAAATCGCGATCTAAAAGCGCGCTGGATTTTTTTATTGTTCCGATGGAAAGTGGTCGGAAGGAATTTTTGTGTAAAAATAAAGCACAGTTTGACGGCGGTTGTACGCGAATCTATTTCTAATTTTCGTTACGGGGGAATATGTTTTACCAAAGAGGGGATTGCTCGACACGTCTAATTTGCGTTTATTCCTCGAAGAGGTAACCGCAGAGAAGAATGGCAACCTCGGTGGAGGGAAAGTTGGCATGGGACGGGCGCAAAGGAAGAAATAAGAACGGCACGAGAAGCTTCGAGCCTGGGGACGACGAGCGACCACGCTGTCGTAGTTCGGCTATAAACCAACGCGATTTTGTCACGTTCGCACGCGTCATCTCCGCGCTGTTAAATTCGTGTCTCTGCTGAGACTGTTGTCGGTGAACAATATCTTCCGCGTTTCTTCTTCTTCTTCTTCTTATCTCGAACCCGACAACACATGCAATTTCGAACACAGTGGAACAGAAGAGTGGAGGGATGGACACATAGGAAGATGGCGAAGTCTGAAAATCGGTAACTCGAGATTTTATAAGGACAATCGACATTGAAAAGAAGATAAGCAGAAGTCCTGGCGTCTGATGGTCGCGTTATATATGGCGGATAACAACGTGTTCGGTGTCGGCCAAGACAGACTGCGATTTCGACTATCTGCTCTTACCAAGGGGTGGTAGTATATTTATTAACGCTGGCACCTTGACAGCTACTTCAAGTACAGGCCGTCTGAATACCATGAGTTTGTCTTTAACAACTCGCCTGATGAATGGCCCATTGCTGACTACCATACAGAAATAGAGTCAGCTAACAAGCGCTTTTCTTTCCTCAGCAGTCTCCTCCTCGCAATCTTTTCTCTGCTTCTTTCTCCGTTTAAACGTCTAAATATTTAGAAAATTCTCGCCCTTCGTCTGTCGTATAACCAACCACGAAATTCGTCCAAACCATTAGGGTTTCCAAGCCAAATAAACCGATGCGCCCACATGTTCGAATCCAATTTCTCTATGAGAACACGCATCGATTTCTTCGATCCTCGGCAAAGTATTTACCACCGTGTTATTTAACACCAATTCCTGGCAATGCTGTGACAGGCCGCGCGCAGCAATTGCCTCGGCCGAGTCAGAAATCGGAACCGGCGCTTGTCCAGCCTGTAGCGGACGGATTGGCAAGAACTTAGGCGGCGTAGGTTGATCCTATGCGTGGCACCGCGGTCATCTCGTCGCGGATACACCGCTATCGGCTGGGTGTGCGCGCTGGCACATGCAACCAGCCGCTGGTGCACACGCTGCGATCGGTGTGTTGGTCGCAGAGACGCAAAAAGGCCCGAAGGCAAGTAACCTACACGACTACGGCAGCGATCAATCAATGTTGCCGTCGGACGGTAAAACAATACGATGTTGCCTCTATAATTGACGGGAATCCATCATCCTCGTTTCGCGACTTCTCCCGCTCCTACGTCCGGATCCTGGGCCCCGTTCCAGCCTTAATTCCGCGCCGGAATTCCCTCCGCGATATGTAAATTTCATATGCCATCCCGGCTGATTGACGGCCATTTTTATCCCGTCGATCCTTTCGATGATGAGAAACTCGCGTTCAGGGAAAATGGACATTCTTAATCGCCGTCGCTGGCAATTAAACGCGCAGAGATTCGATCGTTGATTCTCCTAGCGACGAGTTTTTCTTCTCTCAGCACGAGAGGCAAGCAATTATGGACGATCGTTTAAGATCGCAAGGGAAGAGGTTAGGAGGGATACGAAGAGGTTAGAGGTTAGGTTGAGGTTAGAGGAGACGATGTTAGGTTGTTTCGAAAGTTTCTTTCGTTCGATAAGGTGATAATCGATGAACGATTCCTGTTTTGTATTATTTTATCGAATTAGGGGTGTATTATTACGTTCGTGCGTAATTCAATGAACTAATACAGGGTGGTTGGTAACTGGTAACGTTTTTTTAATTTTTTAATTTTTTAATTTTTCCATCGACACAACGATCTACAGTGAGAGTTTTTAAAATTTTTTACTTTCTTATCTTTTTTTTACTTTTTTAATTTTTCCATCGACGCAACGATCTACAGTGAGATGCGTTATAAGAGACGCGTACCGACCGAAAATTCAAAGTCGATTTTCTCGAGAACGAAGCCTCGAACGAAAAATTTTTATTCTATATTTTCCACTTCTTTTTTCGCCTAGAATCACCCCCTTTCGGCTTCTACCACCAGTTACCAACCACCCTGTATAAAAGAAAGAACATCGTGCGTCTATTACTTGCACGTGAAACGGAAGGAACATTTCGGGCTAATATATTTCGCAAGAGATGATTTAACGTTGCAGTTATCTAAGATTGTTTATTTAAAACGCAATTTCTCTTTAGCGTCGTCCAGTGATAGAGCGGAGGGTTAAAAGGAGGTGAAAGGACGGGAGAAGGATGGCGCGATAACGGGCAGCCATAGCGAAGGCGAAGGCAATAGCGAGAAAGGCGGCAGAGATTGGTAAGCCCGAAATCCTTCAGCTTAACTAATTCCTGCATGAGTTACGAGCAAGCCACGGCTAATTCCAAATAAATATACGGAATACAGATTATGTTAATCGCCATGGATGCAAATTAGACGGGACATCTTCCTCCGTTCAACTTCCGCCATCGCCCTCGTCATCGTCGCCTACCGTAACAACGTTCCCCTATTTTCAAGGACGAACAACAGGAAAAGCCGTAATGTATTTGCAACACCTTGCTCCAGGTTAATTAACAATCGTTAGGGAAAAGAAGTCGGGCCAAAGGGATATCTCTGTCTCGATCCGGCGTTGTAAACGTGACAGTGAATTACTGGCAGAGTCTGCTACGTACTGGTCGA